TGCGAGGGGCTGACGCTGGTGGCCAGCTAAACTGTGCTTTGAAGTGCTCCGCCCGGCGTTCAAGACGTCGCTGCCGATTGTGAATGGGCGAACAGTCAGCTTCACAGATCGGTTTGCTCACACTCAAAGCTTTCCTACCGGTCATCCGGATGAGATGGGAGAGATTACGGTAATTATCCATGGAAGAAGCACGTTCCATTTCTGATACGCGTTGAGTTCACCGGATTGCGCGGTCTCTGTGTAGCCTCGCGTTGAGGTGACGTCGTGTTATGAGTTGTATTGCATTATGCTCACTGCCGGTCCCGATTGATCGGCGTGTGTCGACATTCAGCAGAAATCCAGGGTGTCGCGGCGCGACTTATCGGACCACAACTAAGCCAGCAGAATTTAGAGCATTTTTGTTAAGCGACCAGTGCTGATTTATGTCATCGAGTGGGGTTGGTTCTAGCTTTCCAGCTAGAGCGCTTTCGAATACAGTTAGGCGTTGTGTGAGAGCTTTATTGCAGTCAAACCGTGGTTGGGTCGTGCGTTTGGAACGTCCACTGAAGCACATGGAAAGTTTGGTGCAAACTATTGTGTGGTCGGATTTAAGGGGGGAACAGTTATGTTATCCTGATGATCTTTGACATAAGTTTGCCCGTGCTGTTATGCGGCCATGTATCGTTGTTCTCTCTATCAAGCTAGTAGGAGAAAGCTTTGAAGCGCACTCACCATCTGGAGTGCTTTCAGCTTGTGAGAGCAGTTGTGGTTACGGGTTAAGGATTCCATCGTGCCCGGACCCCGTGCACTAGGCTAGTTTTGAGTCCCATCATCTGTTGTTGATTTAAGCGCAATACTTGGCGCGTTCTCTCGCTCTCGTGTTTTTCACTGAACGAATGAAAATCAACAACATTTGAAACAATTTTATCAATGAATCCGATTTTGAGCTGTCTCTATAAGTCCTCAGTCGCAGACAATCGGTACCCCTCGTATTCCCATCTGACAGCCGATACGAACTTGTACGCAAAAGGCCCGTCAAGCTTTTCTACCATTCAACGAACGTAAATAGAGCGCGTAACCAGTCATTGGCATGACATTTCTTGCAGGTTGCGGAGCCAGCGGAGGCGATGGAGTGATAAAGTAATTTAGTTGGTAGAACTACAGGTCTAACCGAAACTGAAGCAACGGGTCTCTGTGAAACACTTGTGGGTTCGTATAGGCGCCAGCATTTACACTGAAGTTTTGTTCCGAATGATAATAAACAAGCTTTGGTGAGTCTTTATCGCATTGCATTTCCTGATTCGTTTATACTCAGCGGATGGAATAGTTCAGAATGCAGCGAATACTCCCATTTCGTCAGTAATGGTTGACCTAGACCATTTTGGGTTAAGAGTTAATCGAATGGAATAAAACTACTTTTATTTACAACAAACTAACATTGACAACAAATAAGATGTAAAGTTGGTGCGCATTAATAGTCGATTGGCCTGCCTTTGTTCTTAGAAATTTTTCGAGCCTCGTCAGCATCGAATCCAATAACTTTGTTATGAAGTCATTGTGTTCCATTACGTATCGCACTCTGCCTCCAATGTTCAATGTACAGGTAGCACATTGGCATCTCCCTTCAAAATAGAAAATAGATATTCAATCACATTGAGATCCGGGTTATTAGGGGAAAGTTGAATGAACTGGATCTTACAGTCACGCATCTTCTCTAAAAGCAAATAATAAATGAACCCGTCTCCCTAACTATATAAACTTATTAACCTCTCGTGAAACATGACACGGAGCGTTATCCTGAAAAACTAACTTACCCAGACGATTTTTCAAATTAAATTCTGGAAATATTTTTATCATTACTGATACAAATTGCCCACTATCCATGATGCCTTTGATTAATTGATGTCCACCGACGAGGCAGACCACGTCTTATCCCTGCCCAAATGAGTAATCTCGACGGGTGAAAAACTCTTTCATTTGGTGGAATAAGTCCATTTGGGAAATTCATACCACAAATGACTTTTTGTGAGCCTTCCAAAGCTCGTTGCAATCCCTGCACTCGTTGACAAAATGACCCGATTGCCAAAATGATTTGAATTCTTGGGCAAAATCAATACGGGCCTGCCTTTGCTGCGCGTTCAATGCTGGCTTGATGTCAGCTGAAACCAGGCCCATTTTAAATTTTTTATCCTTCTTTGTAGAAGGGAGTATGAATGGTGGGGAAGATCTTTTTATTGGATAGAAGACAACGATTTTCTGAGTAATACGAATCGGGTCGTCCTCCTGTTTGGATGTACTCGGTTTATGGCCCCCACAAGCTTTTCTGGTTGTTGTTTTCCGATGGATTATCCTGTAAATCGTGCTTTTGTTAACGTTAAAGCATTGGACAAGATTTGACATAGAAAATCCCAGCTTGTGTGCTCGTGCAATTCTATTTCTGTCCTCTTCACTGAGATACCGAGAACTTTTTATTTCGAGCGCTGCGTGCTTCATTATGATGATAACAATACGAACATTCAAAGCTGTGTACAAGAATGAAATTGATTTCAAGATTGACTTTGATGAAAATGGTATTTCTCAAATCCAGTCAGTTGGCTGTCAAACAGATTATTACTATGAAACCTTATTTAATGCAATTTCTCCGGATTGTGAAAGAAATTCATTTGGTTATTCAATATATTTTATATTTGATTATATATTGGATAAAATAATGTCTCATAACAAATAACCGAGATGGCAAGGGTTTACGGGAATAATTGGGGATAATTCTCCTATCACTCCTATTAGAATATGTTGCGTTTTCACACTTGATAAAGTCTGCGATGTTCATGATGAGATTATTTTATCTTGGCAATCAAGGTCCGGCACGATTAAGTGATAATTACGCAGCCTAGAAACTACGTAAATCAAAGTAGACAAGCGATAACTCATTGTCCATACCTAAAGCATTAATATAGGCGATAAATATAATGAAAAAAATTTATTCAGAAATAAAATATTTCAGTGCATCAAAATCGACCAGTACTGTATTTGTATTCAAAACTCATTAGTGCTCTCTGTGTGAGGAAATGGTATAAGCAGCTGGTGGTTTAGCATTCCAGTGTGCATTGGTTCGCGGACTTTACTACAGTCCGTCACTTTTGGTGTTAGACGGTGACGCTGACACTTAGTCCAACATATTTTTACTTGTTCCAATATTGGGCATCCGTGCGAGTTGTGGACCTTTGTCTACTTATTATAACCGGCAACGTAAGCTCAGAAACTCAGTGACAATCCACACAAGGTCCCGTTGGTATTGATTGGGACGATAGCGAACCTTCGTACAAAAGGTGGGTGACGGTATTATGGTTCGGGTTTTAGGGGTCCAAAGCTAGACAGTGGCAGAGATTTAGACCCCTTGGTCACTGCCACGCACTACAGAAGTCTTATGTGGTTTTCCAACGCAAGATTCACTGTTTAGGCTGCCTGGAATGACTATAGAGAGAGCATTTACACATAATGCTTTGTACCTTCCGGACACCCTCAAACAGGGTTTGCAATTTGAGAAGGGAATTCTAACGGCTGACAAACTAATGTTTGGTGCACCCATCGATGAGCAAGCACAATAAGGATAATGATAATAAAGCTGTTCTAGTTCCCGCTACCTAATAGACAACAAATGTAAAAGCAATGTTCAGGAAGAGGATCGCAAGCATTCCGAGGCTACTGCAGAGAAGTCAGAAATTAGGACGTTGGTGGCAAGGTTCAAACATGAAAAATATTAGAAACTGCACTGACGGCTTAAACTTTTTGACTACCGCCGCCTACGCAAAGGTGACGGAATAGCGTATTCACGCAACATCAGCAAGACGCTAAGCAAATAACCTCCGAGACAAACCTGTAAACAATTCCCCCTTCTATTAACGTTGCTAAAGCAGTTCTGCATCAACACTGCTTTAGTCCGCAATGAAAATCAAGTCATTAGATTAGGTGTCAAACTTTTTTAACATGGTTAGAATAAATTAGAGAATGATTAACGAACTTGACGGACCGGTAGAACTCCATGGATCGTCAATTGGAAGAACGGAGGCCGAGGAACTAGGGGCAGCTTGTGGTGCGCTGCTACTGCTTGGGACTGGAGTTGACCAGGGATCAGGGATATGCGCTGGGGCAGCAGACAACGAAGTATCTACCAAATTGAACAGACCACCTCCGACACCTGTTCCCGAACCTGAGGCGTTGTTCGTAGTAGCTGGAGTGACTAGCGGTGGTGTGTCGAAAGTTTCCTGCAATACAGAGATATGGACACGGCTATACATGAGGTTACCGTACAATAAAAAAACGACTTTGTTGAACGGCTCACTTCACCGACTAGCCAAACATGACAATATTAAATGGTAAAGGCTGTGAAGAGACAGGCGGTTAACCACGACCGCAGTACTAGACCACACCAAAAATATCTCCCAACGGAAGACACAGAACAAAAAACAATCGAAGGACAGTGATGAATGCATAAACAGTGGAACTGATTATCCAGTTGTCGATTAGGTAGAAAACTATCTTTATTTTCATTCTTATACTGCTGTGGTGCGATCGACAGACGACGAACAACAATTCATACCAGCAATTTTATTGAGCATTGACTAAAACAGCTCACTTATGGTCCTCGCAAAACTCTGCCAGAATAGATGCACACTAATCCTCAGAAACAGACTCACGGAGCTTTCTCGTTCCGAACAGTGACTCTCGCTCACCTTTGTTTTGGCACCTTTACGACGATATTAATACTTTATTTCTTTGAAAACCTATATTTCATATAAATAACTGACTTGCAGTTGTAGCACTAATGTGCGACAATGGAGTACTTCTGGTGAGGAAGATGATGAACTGAGTGGCATTCTAAGACGTTCAACCTAAAGTTTGTAACAGCATCTTTGTGGGCGAATCAGTGAGTCGTCGGCCACTTTAATTCATCACTTAGATCCAGATTTTGATGGCGGTTTTTCTAAATAAATAGCAAAGATGGCGATCACTAATTATTTTAAATCTTCTCTGCTGTTTGTCACTTCACAGGCTACCATTAACTGTGACTAGTTCTCAGGTTTCTGGTCAGCCTCCCTTCACAGATTAACATTTACTCGTAGCATAAGTATATCACAGGAAAAAAGTAAATAAGCAGCGTAATTTTAAGGAAAAGGTTGTCAGTGCCCAAGATTTGTCGCGGTTTATAACAGGACTTCATTAATACGGTGAAAACAATGGAACAGCAGCGAATTATAGTTAGCTAAACCGATCAATAAATTATTCTAGTGACACAATCTCCTACACCCACCACCGAAATTTTCCTAAATCCCTGTAACAATCATGTTACCAGTTATTTCCTTACCTGCTTACACCGCCAAAGTACTGGAGTGAGGGGGCTTACAGTAACGCGCCTGAACAGCCCCCTCTCCATGGAATACACAAAACTTACACCAACACATGCTGTGCACATCTCAGTATAGCATACCATCCTTTGTGCGCACCATCACTGAACCAGGCAGCCACTGGCCCCTTGGCACCATTATATTATTGATTGTCATGGTGTATAGGTTTAAGCCCCTGATTATCATGACTACATGGCACGTTCGCAGAACTGTGAGGTTTCTTCGTTTAATATTCATCAAATAATGGCGAGTGAAAACAGTGCGGACTATTGTTGTGTGCGTGATATTGATTGGGAGTTGTGATCGAGCTTCTAAGCACGCGCTACCCCTAACCTTTATTGTATTTGGTAGTGGGGAAAATGCCCCCGATCAAATGACTGTTTGAGGCAACATCAAAACTTTGTACTACTAGGGCTGTCAATCCAAATAATTAAGATAATTACAAGCATTGAAATTAGCGTGAATCTTTTGCTTTTAGCTTTGCACGGGTGGCTAAAAAAGGCTTCCCTTGTCCATTAGAGTTCATATGTGAACGAAAGCAGACCCAACAAGCACGAGAGTTAGTCGCCGGTGCCGGTGACAGTACCATCACCTAGTGATGACGGTGAAGAGCAAATATGAGATTTTTGTGGGTAAGGGTTATCAAGTGAATGACAAAAAAGAACCAAAGCTGTTTGGAATTCACCCGGAAAGATGTATTGATAGAAAGATCGATGGTGAACAAACACATCTCAAAATCGTGTAAAAATGAAGTACAATCGGAAAAATGCAAACCACACCCTATGATACAAGAAAAAGATAAGGCCGATGAGAGCGGAAGAGACGATCGAGAACTGACCCATCCTCGAGCAGCCTGAGAAGATCACAGAATATGTATACAAACAATTCAAGGACGTAAATCTGAGCAGAGTAATTAGCTATCAAAATAATATACTCCATATTTTTACCAAATAACCTCATGTGATTATATGGATGTTGTTATTATAAATTATCGATGGTACCTATTCACTGAATCTGCTGGGATTCGTACCCGGACAATACAGGTTAATTCCGCACCCCAACCATTCAGTATATTCAGCTTGACCCTTAACAGCTTGTTACATGTCAAGCGCTCATCCACCACGTAGCAAACACCTAACAGTGAAGTATTGCTGATGGTTCTTAACAAAGATGGAACTGTACGGTGTCTCAGATAATTTTCACACGGTGTATCAATGTAATAAATGCATTTTCATAAACGTCCTCATAAAATCCTTGCTGTGCCACATCAATGCTATTGCTGCGGAAGTCAACAACAGAAGTCAATTACACTACACGGCTAGCAGCATATTAGCATAATTGACGGTACTGAACTCCAGATAGATTTTTGCACGTCATTCGAATGAAGACAAGACAGAAAAAAGTTCTGAGTAGCTGTACGAGCTATGAAATTCGAAACAAAAATGAATCGTGCGTATCAAGTTTGTCAAATAACATAATCACGTTATTTACTGGTGGAAGTGTAAGATGATGGACAAAAACGGGAATGACGAGAATGGACGTTGGAAAACGTCGTTTGAGAGAGAGGCCAAATAAATACATAACAAATGATTGGTTCGAAAAAAGTACTAAAAACATCCAATGTGAAAGGAAAAACGAGTGATTCGGCAACGGTGGTTAAGCTCATCACAACATTGGCTCGGAGGTCCTGCTCGAAACCATTTTTCTCATTTCTTCATCGTTTCTTCTGTCAACCTTTGATCGATAGCAGTTTTATTTCTGAAAATTTGTCCGTACGACTGTATATCCAAACAGTACAAGGAAGAAAAATTATCAAAACCTTATTGCTATCACATCATCACCCCCCCCCCCCGCTAATTACAGAACTTGATTTTGTTATTACTGTCATACAGCAGCCGTAAAATAGATTTATTGTTGAACGTTATTTCAAGTTTATAAGTGTTTATTACACAAAAGCAAAATGTGATGGAGCAAATATGTCTTACTCTCCAGATCAATACTCTGCTACAAATAGAAGTCAAGACTTTTAGACTTCTGATACGTTTTCTCTCTCATACGGTTCGCCTTAATGTCATCAAATACGCAAATGACGGGTTTAAATATTCTCAAGGAGAACAGAATATAACGATTATTCATACACCAGGAAGTACGAAACAGTGTCGTGTGGAGAAACAGACATACTTGACCTTCCCGACGACTTTGTTCCAATACCATTTGAACCTTGGCCTCTTCTTTAGCAGCCTCAGCTCGTCGTCTTCGTTCCTCGCGATCGTGTTCTTCCTTGCTTATTGCTATGGCCAGCTGGAGTTGTAGCTGTTCCTCTCCGACTGATTGAGGTCGCACAGAATCCAACTCATTTGCCGAGTGTGAAATGGGTGACTCTGGAGATATGGAAACAAAGTTCTAACCTTAGTCACGGTTTGTAATAAAAAGAAACACGGGTGTCAGAGAGGAACATCCAGTAACATTCTCACCTAAAGTTGCGGATTTATAATCAATCACAAAACAGGTAGCAGAGTAACGAGTGAATCTAAAAATATATGGGTCTATACCACGAAACTTTTAAGCAATTTTTATTCGAACGTCCAGAAGACGAATGGAAATGAAGTAAGCAAGATCAAGAAAACGGGAGAGATGTGCGCATGTATGAATTAGATAAATCTACCATACATATCACGATAAGCCAAGAAATAGGAGTAAAACAGACGGACTACCTCAAAGAGGAAAAGATTTGAAATGAGCAAAAACAATGAGGTGCACAGCAGTTGTTGAATAAGGTGTTTTAAGAAAATGATCAGTCACATCTCGATTTTTGATTTACCACCAAACTTTGAACAACAGCCTAATCAGGATGCAGGATGTTTTGACCAACTAAAACCACGATTGAACCGTCGTCGTACAATGTAACGAGCGAATAAATACATCGGACAAGTGAGCGAATGTTCAAAAGAAAAAAGCAACGGTAGAAGCAATCCCACCACAGAGAACACAAGATACAGGAAATGCATTGACACATTTTCTAATACTAATCGTCTATATTTGGTGTTTTGGGAAATAAATATAATGCGATGGCTTTTCTTTATAAATTATACTTCGAAAATAAGCATGTTACTCAATAAATGATATCAATTAGCTTAGTATAAAACAAGGAAAATGCAAAGTTAACTTACTAGGATGCGTCGGAGAGCGCTTATCTAAGTAGTAGCTTTCAGGATAATTGTGGGTCAAGCTGGAGCGACACTGAGAGGAATAGCGCGAAGGAGAACCACCGGATGACAAAGTAGTACCCAGGCCTCCGTGCATGAGCCGATCGCGTGCTAACAGTGCTTTGGTGCGTTCCTCGTGCAGTCGCTCTTCGTCCCTGAGAAGTGCACTAAGTAAACGAGCTTTTGCTCGAACATTGTGTCCATGATCCTTACCATCCTCAAAGAACTCAAAATCCTAGATATGCAGAGCGAAACAGAAAAGGACAAGATTACTTGGTGCCGTAACTGAACGACCAATGGCGAATACGTTTAAGCTAGAATGTTCATCAGATACACATACCTAGATCCCATTTCGCTGTCTACACATATCACAGTATAATTTATTAGTGATATATATGACGGTTTTTTAATCAACGTCACACACAACATACAATTCAAATTCAATGTCGAAGTTTATCGCCAAAGAGATGGGTTAGAAATGGGATTACCTCCAATGTTTGCAGATATCTTCATGGCTAAGCTGGAGAACAACATCCTAAAACGAGCAATTGATCGATGCACATTTTACAAGCGATATGTGGATGACTTTTGTACTTAGTCGATGACAATGTGAATCTGAAAGTAGTTAACTCAGTTCATGAAAACACAAAGTTCATCCTAAAGAACGAAGAGAATCAGCAGATCGCATTTCTGGACGTTCTACAAAGTCGTCGGTCAGACGGAACTATCCAACGCGCCATCCACCGGAAGCCATCGTGGAATAATCAGTATAACCATTTCAAAATCTAGGTGCCTTTGGAAGGGGAAAGAAAACTGATTCAGTGTCTCGCCAAGAGGGGGCGGAGAATATGTACTGACGACACCATTGAGACAGAACTGAGGTTTATCCGCGACGTTTTCCTTTAAAACGGATACCCAGAGTGATTTGTGAACATTTTCGGGCGTCACCGGTTGTCAAGTAAGATCACTACTGCTGGGAATAAACCGGTTGACATATCACTACCTTTCAAGAGTGACAACTGCGGAGACGGTGACACGTAAACTGAGTAGTTGTAGAAAAACCATCCCCCATGCATTGTGTTCGTCTCCAGGCCACTTTGTGCTTTCAACTCAAAGAAAAGTTGCATGTTTTTGCAGTCTTTCTGTACGTTCTTATTTACCTGTTCCTATGAGGCCAGGCATATTGGCCGCACGAGCAGATTTTTACCTGAATGAGTCCGTGAGCATTACCCGGCCTGGTTGAATAGTGGACTAATTAAGACGATCAACAGTTCGATCGTTTCACACCCATTGGAATTAAACAACGTGGTTATTGTGGCCAACACCGCACATGACAGTCATGCCTCCCACCCCTAATGACCCGAACCAATGTTAGCAACATCCGATCATGGAACTGGAATTTTGATTATTTCTTTTCCAATTTGTCATGA